AGCGTGTTGGTGTCGTCGTCTTCTGCCTCTTATGTATCTCTACTTGAGCTGCTCTGCGGCCAGCAGCAGAGAGCAAATCATCGCCTCATCAAAGAAAATATGAAATCATTGTTAGCAAGTGATGCTGGGCCTCAAAGTATCGGCTACAATCCGGTTCCTCAATGAAGAAAGTATTCAACATTTCTGACACATAACAAAGAAAATGAGCGGAAGGTAATAAGAGGTGTTTATCAAGCAACAGGTGGTCGGGTGACGGCCAAAGCCGATAATCCGATCTTTTCATTTCGTGGCTTATTGACAAATGCGTTCAGGCACAGAGACACCTACAGGAGCTCTAACAGACGTTCAGACTGTGCAGGTGGCAAGAATGATTCAGACCGTCTGATTGGTCGCATACTGTTAGAATTATTTTTACACAAAGAAGGGAACATGAGGCATACTGGCATTTGAAGTGCGACAATCATAAAATCAGAAATTAATTAAATTCAAGTCTGTTTTCACATCCCATGATTCATTTCTTTTGCACACACTTGTCAAACCCGCCTCTTACCTTTTCTGCTTTACCGACAGCCTCTTTGGCTCCTTGGCCCTTTGTGGCGACTTGTTCTTTAACGACGGGCGCCTCGTCGTCGTCGCTGTCCAGAATCTGACGGCTGCGTTTGGCAACCTTCTTGATGGGTGACTCAGCTTCCTGGACGCCGTTCTGCACCTTGAGAGGACTTTTGACGGTCCTGGGGAACGAGCACAGACACAAAGTTAAGACAACGTGTAACTCAAGTAAATAAAGACATGAACCTCATTACTGTAATAACGTTCAAAAACAAAGTCTAAGGTGATAAGAAGTTTAAATTAATTGTTAAATCTGTGAAAACCTCGTCTTAAAATCAAGGCAAGAGTCGTTAAAGAGAGGTCAACGCACTGATGAAGGGATCATTACATAAAAGACGAGTATGTTAAAGTGAGTTTTTAAGATGCACTTTAAAGATGATAATGAACGCTATCATCAAAGTGGCTCGGAGATGAGAAAGGGAACTTATCTTCTCTTTTGATTACGATAAAAAGTGGCCAGAAAAACGCTTTACTAAGCAGCAGAGATCTGGGATTCAGAGAGACTCAAAGATAATTGCCCGTACTCAAACTGTCAGACTGTGTTTGAAAATCAGCTAAAGCACTGATATGGATAGCTGATGTTGGGTGATCTCTTTTTTTTTTTTCTAACGTTGTCTCTGTGAACATACAGCGGCATCTCCATTTGTCTGCTAATCTTTGAATAAGTCGAAAACGTTGTCCTCAGAAGGCCAAAGATTTCCGAGCATAACAACACAGTAAAATAATTGCCGTGTTCATTAAAGAAGAATATCTGAGTGTTGTAACAGATATTTTCTAACTTGTACATGTCAGCAGCTGAACATTAAATGCTATTCAGACATTTATCTTCTCCTAAAGGTTTTTCATTTGACACGATCTTTTGTGATAACAGGAGACATTAGTGATGGGTTAGTGACAACCAGGGCACAAAGCAGGAGGAATGAAAAGATAGAAACTTGTGCATTAAAATAATCTACAAATCCAGAATAAACATCTGCTATGAGACTCAAAACACAGGACATTGAGGTGGGAAGGAAGAACCACAACCCACAGCTCCCCTCCTCAAAGGACAGCTGACTACCTCACAGAGCAATAACAATGTGCAATAATACACCTCAATGAAAACGGAACAATCATGTGATCAGGAAAAAAAAATAATGTGCAAAAGAGGATGCACAAAATTCTCTGGACAAGAAAACATTTGATTGATTTATTTGTACTGTGTCTCATTTTATAGTTTAAAAATAGGTTTAGCATTTTTTTTTTTACAGTTCATATTTCTTGAGCACTTTATTTCTTGTCTCATCTTTGATATCGCTCTTCTACTTTTCTACTTTTTTTGTAGAGCTGACACTAGGAGTAATGCACAATGTACCTTTACCTAATCTGAAGGAAAAAGGCCAAAAAGGCGAGACTTAACGAGCTGCTTTCATTGGACGCTTTTAAGAGGATGACTTGCACATCTGGCTGTAGATATTCTCTCTGATGCGTTTGAGGATTATCTTGACCAATATCTCCTGTTTAGATTTGTTATTCGTGTATTTTTTACGTATTTTTTATGTGAGGCTGCTCGTCTGTAAGAAACTGTAAATTGTGCAGCTGCCTGTCTCGACCAGGACGCTCTTGAAAAAGAGATTTTTAATCTCAACGAGTTCTTTCCTGTTTAAATAAAGGTTAAATTAAAAAATAATGATCTCGACATTCACAAAACCAAAAATATAAAGTTAACAGTGAGGATCACGAGTTGCTTAACGCACTGTATTAGGAGTGGTCTGTAGCTGTACATGGCTTAAAGAAATCACACTTAAGTATGTATTATGATTTGAAATGTTGACAGTGATTATATTCATGATATTGCACATCGAACACTTGATGAGAAAAAAACGAAAAACTCATTCTTACTTTGTCAGAGGTTCATCAGCTGTTTTCTTCTGACCGTCTTTGCCTTTGGGCTGAAAGAAGGATCTGAGTGAAGACAGAAAACAGTAACACACAAAGTTAATCGTCTGATGGGCGTCTGTACAGTTCAATCCAAGAAGGGCTTTCAAAATGAAATATCAAAGGTCACATATTATAGGGTTAGGGGTTTAAACAAGTCTCAGAGGTCCCCAGAACATGTCCTTTAAGTGTGTCTACAGCTTTAAATGGAGGTGAGCTGTGTTCGACAGCTCCTCTGAAAGGGCTTGGGGCTTTCTTGCGCCATGCCCTATACTTCATGATTAAAACGATCACAAAGGGCGCTCTAATACTAGGCAATTTGTTTGTGTGAGTGTCACCAACCTGCATGGGGGAGGGGTTACTGCCCTTTGTGATGTCACAAAGGGAAAATCTCCAAACAGCCTGTTTGTGCACACATTTACATAAAAGTGGAGCAGGCAAAAGACGGGAGGACGGACCTTTCTCATAATGTTTGGGGATTTGTAAACAGGGCTAGAGACACATATGAGTGTAAGACAAACAGAATGGTTTGTGCATTTGCATAATGTGTGACCATTAAAGAAACATTGCTGTGCAGGATTGAAGCGCTTAAAACCAGGTGGTTTCAGAACCCAGAGGTCCATATCATCATCATAAAAAAAGCACAAGAAGTATGGATAAAGATCATCAACAAATGGATAAAATCAACACCAGATCTCAACATTTTCAGACATTTGTACCAGTTTTCTGAACCAATTAATCAAAAATGTATGCATAAGATTGTGGGGACATTATTAGAAACTAAACATTTGACTTGCAGGAGTAAGTAAACAGAGATAATGTGCAGTAATGGAGCATTGATGATGATGATGATGATGATGGTGGTTTGGAGCTCTCATCCGGGCTCTTACCAGCTGAACATGACGAGCTGCTGTGTGCACATTGAAGAGCTCCACCCTGAAAGTTTTTGATCACTTTTTGCACATTTAAAAATCATTCTTTTAAGTGTTCTTGGTGAGTGGGAAGTCAGTGTCCATATCTAGACTTCTGACACTTAATAAAGAGCAGTGATCAGATTAGTTCGATCACTTTTCATGCCCTGTGTCTGATGTTATTTACTTTCATCTGCAGCTGCGCAAACATGAAGAAATGCAACGAATGAAAGCTCATGTTTTCTCATGTTTACTGGGGTAAAGGTTGCAATATAAGTAGGCTAATGCAAGACAGTGCATTTAAAATTGAAGTCTGCTAGACAGCATTACATTTCAGGTGACTGAGTAGAGACTATGAACCACATGAAATAAGCTAGCTCAAAGTGACACAGATGTAAACGAACGCTACTACCTCGAGCTAAACTAGTTCACATCTTTGTACTTACGCAATGCTCCGCTGCATTTTGTCTTCAAACTATTCCTTCACTTCACACTAAATTGGGACTAACAGGTTAATAATAGCACAGGTCCGACATTCACACACAAACTCGCGGGCTGCGGAATTACAGACTACTTGGCATATTCGGCGCCAAAACGACATCTCAGCCAAAGAGTATAAAAAAAGAGAGAGGTGTCACTCGAGAAGAAAAATACGAAGCGTTGTTTTTTTGTTTTTCCCCCTGCAAATTTGGTCATCATAATGACTGCGTTTTTAATTTGTAACTCTTTTTTTTAAGTACCTAGATACAGGCCGGATGGTTTAATATTTTTTTTTATCATAATTAACAGTCATAGAAACCATTCATACTCTTCATTACCAATTTAAACAATTCCAGTGAGAGCACGTAGGTTATGTAGGTGGCATACCTACTATTATTCTTTTTTTAAATAAGTGTATCGAAAGTCGATATAAATTATTGGGTCCGGATGAGCAAAACGACCACAAAACTTATAAAGTAAACCTTTACGTGCATTTGGAACCGACTTAAAAAAGGTTTCGATTTAGGGTGCCCGAAAAACGCGAACAGAGTGATAGCTCTTCAATTTTTACCTATCTCAGCTCTGACTCTCTCCCGGGAAAAGTTCGCGGGATGTCAAAAGCTGCTTACTGCCCCCTACTGTGTCGGAGGGGTTATTGAAGCCCCCAGAGGCTGGTCCTGATGCTGCAAAGAAGACGTGAAGGCTGCTGTCGTGAAAATTTCACAGTGTCTGCTTGAATGCAACATTTATGCAGCGGCTCTTATTATTTTCATGAAGCCTGGAGAAGACGGGACGAAATGCAAGACAAACAGCTGAATAATGCAAGTTGAGAGTTCTGCTTTATTGACTCAAATACAAGTGCCATGTTGTTAATTGTTTACAAGTGCAATTCCCCTACTGTGGCATGAAGTGCTGACGGAAGAAAAGCCGCTTCCTGAACATCTCTATTCAGCAGCAAGAAAATACATAATGGAAAACTCAATAAATACAAAGTCAGTGTATCACAGGCAATGAATAATGAACGACTGAGTAAAATATAAAAACAGTGCTTATTTGAGGAAGGATAGCTGTCCATCTGTTATAGTGTGTTCCTTTCTCTTCACTCCCTCTCCCCCATCAGTGTGTTACTCCCCCCTCTCCTCCCCTCTCCTTCACTCTCTGTCTGCCTCATTCCAACAAACAGGCTTCGACTGAAGTGGTTCAGATGATCCCAGCGTCCAGGGCTCCGGTGGGGCCAGACGTTAGCGCCGAGCGAGGTCAGAGGCGGCAGACCTGACTCCTTCAGCTCCCTCGGGTCGGACCCTGAATGTGCAGGAGCAGAGATGAAGGGGTAGTGGCCGTGGAGAGCGTGAGGTGTGGAGATGGGCTTTGGGAGGCAGCAAGGGAACAGGAAGGGGTGAGGCACAGGGAGGATTGCTGTCAAGACAGAAAGAGGGGGGGGGGGGGGGGTTAGTCAAATGTTGCAGAAGTTTCATAAAGCCAGACTCTTTTAGTATAACCTGTAATATAATATTATTCAAAACATAAAGGTACCAGAGGTGCAAAATGTTCCGTTTGACTGTTTGAGGGAAAAAAATCAGGATTTACTGATGTTTTTGGTGGACGTTTGTAAAGGCTTTTAAATTCCTTAATCGATGTCATGATGGGTTATGCACCAAAGATTGATCGATTGTTTTTTAGCCCACAAAAAATATATTAAAACGTTTGGAAAAAAAACAACACTGTAAGAAAGCGTCTTATTTGACTGATTTTTACAGTGTATGTTTTACAAGATTCAAGATGTCACTTAAAGTCACATTTCTGTAAATATAATCAGTTTGAGTCATTAATAGTTATTAGAAATGTTCTTTTGTTTTTCCAGTGAATTCGATTTTAGACTTTGTATTATAGACTCAAGGTCCACATACAAAGTCTGTTCCACAACAGGAACGCGAGGAATACAAAGGAGAAATCCTTCCTGCATCTTATCCCATGTTATGCTCTTTTGTAAAGCGTCTCGAGATAACACTCGAGTCACACTTGAATTGGCGCTTTACAAATAATGATTGATTGACATAAAGACCCAATACATACAGAGATATCACAACATACCTTTAACAAAAGTAAAAATAAAAGTTCATGATTTATATACAATAGAAGAAGCATCTGTACCAAAGTCTTCAAAACTGGGACTGGTAACAAACAGTGCTGAAAAAAACAGTTTACAGCAGGTTTCTTTAGACAGTTTGGAGACTATTGACTCCTCTAGTCACAAACATCTCACTTGCTCTTCAACATCTTGATCTGTTCAGTAATATTCTCAAACCATCTTTCAGTTTCTGCATTTGTCACCTCGCTGACTGATGCTGTAAAACTTACACGTCTTTGACATTTTTATGGTGAAGCCAATCAGAGACAGAAAGAAATCTTAACCTCTGTAATTTCAGAAAATAAAAAGGTTTCCTCACTGAATGGCTTTCTTTCTGTTTTAAATCTGAAGAACCTGACTGCACAGGTTGACTGTGAAAGGGCTTGAAAGGACGAGTGTGAGGAAAAGAAATCGGCTTTATTCATTTAGTGAAAGAATTCTCACTCTTTTCTTTCACTGAGGCTGCTCAATGGCAGTACTTGTAGTTAATGGGGTTCCCACCAATAGCTAAAAACATTCTGCAGTGTATACCTGCAGTATTACAGTTTTCAAAGGGCACAGAAAAGAATATATTTTTGTTGGTGTTGAATCCCAAAAGAAAGCACCGTTTCATCTTCAGGTTCTTGAATGTATTTATTCACACAACTCCCACAACTCGTCTTCAAGGTTAAGACTGAACTTCTGTCTCCGCATTTTTTCTCCAAAACTCGAATCATGTTTCTGCTTCAAGTGTAAAAATAAAACAAATCATGCAAATAGGGAAAAAAAAGAAAGTATGAAGGAAGTTTCTTTTGTTCCTTGAAACAAAAGAAACTTCAGGACTTGAGAAACCGGCACACAAGTATTTAAGAATGAGTTCAGTGATGGTAAACAGAGTATGAATGTGATCATGATGTTTTTTCTGTATTCTTAAAAGAGAAGGTAGATGAAACACATTCTCATGAATGTCAAGAAGTTACTGCTTTTACAGAGTAAAAACGCTCTATGGAGCCACTATTTGTTGGGAAAATATATTTTGTTTAAAGCAATTATCATCTTAATTATCGTAAAAGTTGACTTTTATTTCCCTTGCTAACTAAGGTAGAGGTAGCATTAGTTGATATGCTGGAGTTTTCAGACCCTCTCGTTCCTCTTTTGTTCGACCCTCTCGTTCAAATATGTCAGCCTCTGGAGGTAAATAACCAAATATGACTCCAGCTATAATTCCAAACTCCTGCGCCAGGTTGATCAAAAGATTGAATCCAGATAAAACTGTTCCAGATTTGTTAATCCACTTTTTTTTTTCAGCCAATTGGATCACATTATCCAGCTCACTTTTATCACAGTAGTTAAAAAGAAAGACTGGACAGGATCACCCTGATCTAGGGACAGACATGAAGACGACCTAAACCGGATTACCCGTGCAATTAAGACTCAGGACCCACCACCAACTCCTTCATGAGAAATCACCACCCAAATATCTGATGTTTTTTTCACTCATCAGATTTTTATTTAATGAAAAATTGTGCAGTTTGGACCTCAGACCAAAGAAACTGAACAAAATAATCTTGTTCAAAAAGCGCTACATAGACTTTTTGATTCAACATTTCTTCCAGGCACACCACTGAAAACAGCTCAGAGACCCACTTTGGTTCCCGACCCTCCAGTTGAGAACCAGAACTTTTAAAGGCACTCACAGTAAATGCTTTGTCCACAGGGGGCGCCAAAATCCACCCAAACAGAAATATCCTGCACAGCTTCTTTACGTTAAGTATTTAATGTTTAATTATGATAAGTTGTGGGTTTCTTATGAAATATCTAATGAGAACATTTTTACAATCCTAATGTGACTTCATCTACTTTTGAAGAACAGAACAGCTGTTTATTTCCCTGTGCTGTTTGTTCCTTCTCCCCCTCCGCTGTCTTCAGCTCTGCACAGGTGAAGCTATTGATCGCCTACTAAGGAACACCAGTCCTCAGTGCTTTAAAGCCAAGTGCTGTGCTCAGGAGGAGGGAGGCTTTTGGAGTCGGGATGCTGAGCCTCTCAGTCCAGGATTGTGTTTTGTTGAATTTGTTTTTGAGTTGAGATTTTTTTTTGATAATTTAGTTTATCAATAATAAATCTCCTGGTTTTGACTTTAATTTGTGGGTTTTTGTCGCCCCATAGAGCCGCCTTATTATGGGGCGTAACAGCCACTGACAGTCAGGGGACGATTTGAGAGAAGAGGTAACACATTGTTGGACTATAGTGTAATAATAATAAACCTATAATAATACATTTTAGATCCTGTATGTTGTTTTTTCTTGCAAAAAGTACTCACCTTTATGGTCTCATTTCCTCTCACTAAAAGACAGAGTGACCGATGTGACAGAAGGAAACTATAAGCTCCAGTCGTAGCGGGGGCACTTAAGGACTTATTAGGAACCAACAGGGTCACTAATTGGGGTGTTCTTACCTCTGTCCATCATTGAGGCCGCTCCTCCACACAGAGGAAGACCACTCTCAGAGGGGAGGAGAGGGAAGGGAAGAGGGCCGCTCTGTACCAGCTGGAGGGTGAACGCATGAAGGATGAGATGAATGAAAGGATGAAATGAACACATGGACCTTTTCAGTACAATAGAGTCTCAAGCTTTGAAGCCCCTGTGGAAGTTTGGATCTATATAACGGGTATGAGTTCTACCCTAATGTAGTTAATGAGGCGGTTTGAATGTTAAAAAGCAGTGTGTAAGATTAAGACATTCATCAGCTTAATAGCAGAAAGGTGTTCGTAATAGTTTGTACACCAGTGGCCTCATTTAAAATTGAAATGTGGTAAAAACTTAATTGCATTACATAAAAGTAAGAGTTTCATTCCGAAACTGTGATTTCCATTTGCAGAATGTAAGAGTAAATCTTTTAACGGGCTCCACTTAAACACCACTTTTCTACCTTAAAAACACAAAGCCCTGCTGTTAGAGAATTAATCATCAAATTAAACCAAGCACAGAGCGTTCTAAGAGTTAATGGATAACCTCAGCCCGGGGTTTGGTAATGAATATAATACAACTTTTACACACTGAATCCGCTCTATATTAAAAGATTTGTCTGTAAGTCAACTTTATATTACATGATAAGTTTTGGTAATGATTTCTGTTCAAGTCAGACGGTTTTATATTAAAAGGCACGTTTGAAGAGATTGTTTCTGAATAAGTGGGTCCAGTTTTAAAATGTTGATTTACGTACAGAGCTGAGGTTATTTTTTTGAAGAGCTTGATGTTTGGAAAACGGATCAAAATGCAGCCGATTTGAATAACTTATTTTCAGTCAATTCAAGTTCTGGAGACTAATTTAAAAAAAGATTTAGAGGCCTTTAGAGGACATGCAACCAGAGCCTACATTTAATTAGACTCTGTTTCCAGCGATGACAAGTAAATTGCAATTCTTTTCTTGAGATGTAGACTAATTTATCTGGTTATCTGGGGATAACAATGCAGGTTTTCCAATTATAACAAGTGAGTTTTATTGTTTGTATTTAAGGTTTATTTTGGTGATTTTTATGCCTTTATTTTTTTAGAGATAGGATAGTGCAAGAGTCAAAAACCAGGGTGAGAGAGAGTGGGGAACGACATGCGGGAAAGTAGCCACAGGCCAGATTCAAAACCGTGGCTGTCCGCCTCAAGGACTCAAGCCTCTCTACATGGGGCACGCATCAACCGCTAGGGTACTGGCGCCCCAATTCCAGTCGTTTTTTAAAGTTCTCGAGAAGTTGTGTTGTTATCACAGGAAAACCGGCATTGATATCTCGATATGATGATGTGAAAAAGTCTTATGAATGAGATTATGAATAAATGTTGTGATCACAAGAAAACAGAGTAAATTGAAACTTATGGATGTTAACTCAAGCTTCTGTAGATGTTTCCGTTATATTTTCCAATATGATCTATAAGCCAGCTTTCCAAACAAAGAAGTCCTTTAAGTTGTGATGAGTGATGTAGAGATGCGATGATGACCTGATGACTGGATGGAGGTGGAGGAGGAGGTGGTGGGTGTCCTGGATAGTTGACCAGGATGAGTTTGTTGAAGTTGAACTTGTAGGTGAATCTTTTCCCTTTGGTCTTGTGCAGGATGCGTTTGTTGTAGTAATATCTGGAAGTGAAACGTTTCCCGTGTCAGACTGCACTCTGTTTGTTTTAAGAGTTGTGTGTTTATGACTATAGCTACAGTATTTTTCTGCAGGGTAGGCTGCAGGAACGCGTGCAATGTTTTGCTTCCCCATGTGTTGCCTCTGGGCGCATTTAAGATTTTCAATTTTAATTTGAAACATATGCAGGCAAGGAGTAGGCCTACATTTCATTTACAGCATCCGCCTTAGGGTGAAGCTGTACAGAGAGGGAAGAATAATCAATATTCATCATGAGGCGGCACAACGCCTCTGATGTCGTGATGCTCAGTATGGGAAGCTATCCTGTGTAAGGTTAATTGTCTATTCCTGTTTTGCAAATCCTAGAATCAACAGAACGGACAATGGATTCAGGGAAAATTTGGAGCGATTTGGTAAACTGTAAACAACTCAGTTAATGTTGTTAGCTACCTTGAGGTAGACCTACCATAGGATAACAGCCAAGCCAAATCCAAGCTTACATCACATTTGATCAGCTAGAGGCTGGTTGAATGCTAAAAACAGCTGATATGTGTAGCAGTGTGCTGAAATATGTTGTATATCCTGAAATATGGAGTCAGACTAAATTTGCACTGTCCATTGTCTTTGTAGTTGCTAGCCAATCGAGCAAACTTAAACTTTAAACGTATTTAAGCTACCTTGAGCTAGGCCTACCATTCGACAACAGCTAGCATTTAGCCAAATCCAAGCTTACGTCACATGTGATAGTGTTCCACTGTAAAAAGGGTGCTAACTTGAATGTAACGTAAGCTTTGTTTGACATTAGCATTAAACCAATACACAGCTAACACCCCATTTTGAAAGAATAACATGATACATTAGGAAAGCCTCAACATCCTAAAAACTAACGTTATTGTTAGCTAACCAAAAATAATGCTAACAAAGAAATGGCGCCATTAGCTGATGTGATGAGGACCTATCAGAACATCGTAAGCTAATCAGGACAGCTAAGTCATAACCAGTCGTTTTCCAAGTTAACGTGGCCCTTTAGCTAGCTAACATCATCAGCCATGAATTTACATTTCTTACGCTGCCTTCATGTGCTCCCAGTACATATTGTGTCACTGAATATACCAATTTCCCTCGCGTAATTACGACTTAGAGGGCCATCAGTCATGGACTCACAACTCAGAAATACGATAATTCCAAGGAGCACATGAAGGCAGCATTATACTACACTATCATTTGTTAGTAGTTGTGTTAGCTCGGGGCTGGTTAAATGTTAAAAAGAGCTGACGTGTGTTGGTAGCTAATGGGATAATAATAGGTGAGCTGCAGGCCGTAGGTGTTGTTAAACGTCAGTGAGAATATGTCAACTCCACCTGAGCATTTTTTTTTTTTGATCACCTGAGCGCCCGGCTAAGCTTGTCGTAGTTCATGTGTGGTTTGCCCTTCCTCTCCCCCCACAGCCTGGCGAGCCTCTCTGGATCACGGATGACGAATTCGCCCCACTCTCCTCCCCAGCCGATGGCCCCACCCTCGCCACGCCCCAGCAGCTCCAGCAGGAAGTGCCACAGCTGCACCTGCCTGGACCCTGGCGACCACGCCGGTTTGTACGCCCAATCAGGGAAAAGCACTGCTGGAGAGACATGAGGAAGATTTTGTAAACTACTGACATTTCTCCGTTCTTATGAATAAAGTTCAGCAGCATTTATATGTTTGTCACTTTGGAGCTTGAACCCTGTTCCCATCTAGTTTATCCGCTGTTTCCACGTGCTATGCTAAGCTAAGCTAAGCAAACAAGCTGGTCACTGTAGCACCATATTTACCGTACAGAGACACAAAACTGATATCTTTCTCCTCTTCTAATAAGACACCAAAGACATATTTAGGTTTAGCTTTGGATGATGTTATTTTATAATACAGAATAATATTCATCATATAGGAACAGGTTTCACTAGCGTTTTTAAGACTGCTTCTTTTTTTTTTTACATCTTTATACGTTCATATTGATTCCACAACAGCGTTTATATTGGTGTCCAAGTCTGAGAATTCACATTGCATTTCGGAGCTGCAGAAGCCAACACAGCGGGAGCTCCTCATAGACAACACGGTCAGATATGCATGCACACACTGCACTGTGTTCCCCTGCTGCTTCCGCTGATACCTTCTTGCCTCTGTAACGAATGTCAGATTGAAACGACAGTCTGGATAGGGTTAATGTAAGCCTCATGAACGTTACCGCCCCTATAAAAATGTTTATATATCACATGTTTTATGTCAAGCTAAACCTTACTTGTATAGAACTGATTTGATTTTTAGGAAATTATGCATCGCACTACTTTTATTTTGTTTTTCTTTGCATTTTTAGTTCCAGTCAGAATTTCAAACTTCTGCCTGTATCCTGAGAGTATGTCAAAACAACATTTGCTACAGATAAGAAAGAGCTGTGTGTGCTGCAGCAGATCTCATCATTACATATTCTGCTGTGGTGGTTTTCTCGTTTGAGGCACAATAGTTTGAGCTTCAAGTAGACTGTGGTGTGGAAAATCCTTTTCTTCTATTTTGACTTCTTGTTTGTACATTTGTCCAGATATATGTTAATTAGTTTTTCACAACAGTGTGTCACAAAATAACCAGTATTGGGTGTTGATAAACCTGGGAAAAATGCAACATTTCAACACTACAAATTAGCAATTAATACATTTTCTGAAGCAGAGAAGCTGGTGAATGGAAGTGCTGTGCAGGGCCAGAGAGGGCGTGAGTACGTGTAATTGCTTCTTCCATTATCTGTTCTTACGATCATGAAGCCCTGCTTTTCCTGAAAGCTCGGACTAATCACTGCTTCATTATGAGAAAACAATTTCAGGCTCATTATGTTGGGTTTCACAGCATGATTATTTGTCGCACAGGTTGAAGTTTCTCACAGCCAAGCAGATATCTCTGGATTCTTCATTTCAACATGACATTTAGAGAAGATTATGGAATGTGTGCAGCTTATAACCTGCTTATTAGATTTCATGCCATCAAACAAACCTAGAATTTGACTAGAAACTTCTCTATCTTATGTCCTTGTAAAAAGAAATCTTTAGAAATTAGAGCGTTATGACTATTTCACCTCTGCACCTGGCTTGAAACCTACATACAATAACCAAACTACATGTATTAGAGGTGATTTATTTTCATTATCTTGTAAAATCAAGAAATATAAACCTACTTTTCTTGACTGCAAGAAGTGTATGAAATGTTCTGGTATCAAGCGGCACACAGGCCTATTATAAGGGGTGGATTTGCCTCTAGTTTAATGTATAAGGGTCTTGAACCTGCATTCTTTTAATGGCCTGCAGGGGGCCGTCTTTGTTCCTAAATGCATAACAAATAAACAAGTATATCTTTGAGAGCCATATTGTTCGAGTCTTTGTGCATCATATCTGTGTTTTTGTTACGACTCAGCACCTGAATCAGTAATGAGCGTTTGCGGACTTTATCTATAAGACACTCAAATAAGTCTGTATTTCATTAAACAGTACTTTATGATTACAACTGGATTTTCTACCCAAAATTAGGTGACCAGAATTACAGAGAAACCTTTCTAACTGAAATAACGCTCGCTTGATCTGATCACTTTTCAGTGTTTGCTTATTCCTTTTTCATTTTTTTGCTGCTCCTCCCTCCTGTCCTGACATTTTGCTTCTGGTTTCAAAACAAAGCAATGGAAGAGGCGAAAAGGCATCAAAACAGTGTCAATCAAAGAATTGACCTAGTGGCTGCAACCAGTGGTGGGTATTGAGTTGTGCAGGGGTTGCATGAAGTATGTGTACACAGGGGCGCAAATATACACGTACGCACTCACGCACTCACGCACTCACTCACTCACTCACTGAATAGCATTTATTTACCCCTTTTATCTCCACTTCACTAACTCTAACCCTAAATGTCTGGGGGCAACATGTTCATTTTCTAAGCTTCATGGTTTATGGAATTGAAAAATAATATGTGTTTCCAAAGTCACAATTTAAAGTTCCCAGAACACATTGAAATGCAAAGAAAACAGCAAGCAGCACTTTGCTACACATCCTGAATAGTCAATTTTAATAAAATTCCAGCTTCATAAGAGGAGAATGTCCAATCACAGGTCAGGATTTTTTGTTCTGGCGCCAGGGGTGGTCAATCAAATTTCAAGGGGGGGCAACGCCACCCCAGGTCACCCCTCTGAAGACGGCTTCATCTACTTGTTATGGCAAGACAAAGTTGAGAACAAATGACTGTGATTGACCTAAAAAATGGGTGATTGATGAAACACATAAATCAGAACAGGGCCATTTTTCAATATTGGATTCTGATTGGACGATATTTTTCTGCGTCATTTGTCATGGATGACATGTTCCTTTGTTTCTCGTGATTTCTATCTATTTTTATCACACTCCTGTGCTACAGACACAGAGAGCACAGGATGAATATAAAATAAGTCTCACAAGAGCATGACAAATCTCCCCAACAACACGGGGGAGACGCGGAACAAATGTCGACAAAATAACACAACTCCAAACTTACTTCTGCTCCAGTAAGGTGATGAAAGGTGTCCCACTGAGGAGCTGCAGCTGCACTGCATCTGCAAACACAACGCAGAGTTAACACAAACAGACAAAAACCACACACACACAATAGCTTCATCACTTTGAGCAGCGGTAGATGGAAGTCAGGGCGGCAAAAAAAAAAGAAAGTTTGCCTGAATGAAACTTTAATTAGCCGTCATGTGGTGTTAAATCAGCTCTCACAATAGAGCTCAGATTACAGCGGCGTCTTTGCCAAATCCTCAAATATTTTAGTTATCAGCAAATCAAACCCACCCCCCCCCACCTCCCAAACATCTCCAGACTGTAGCTATTTGATGTCGATATCAGAATAATTGTGAGTAAATATAAGGAGTATCGATCTCTTTCAGTTCATAATGTGCTTGAAATTACATCTGCAAATTCAATAGCTTTTTTTCTGATTAGATTTTGGCATTTGCAGTTACATAAATGTGCAAACGCATCATATTCCCTGCAGATACTGTTTCATATTTTCTGTATTTTTTTTTCTATAATTTCACCCTACACACACACATATTCCGCCCACAGGCACGATGACCTTCCCAGGCGAGACACCCACCATCTTTCCCTGGAAGGCTGAAAACTCATCTCTCCAAGAAGTACTTCACACAATCCCCCCCCCCCCCCCCCCTTTCCACTGAATGATGTCTCTTTTCCTATAAGCCCTCTTCCACGAGCTGTAATATCCTCTTATCTTGGAGCAACAAGAAAACGATGTCTCCCCTTTAGCTCTTATTTTATTTCCTTTTTTTCCTGTGCAGCAGCAGCACACATGATCACTGCAGGGTCACGGGGACATTATCAGGAAAGTAGGAAAGCTGAGCGTTTAGTTTAAGGGCCCATTTTTACCAAAAGAGGGTTCCTAAATGGGCTGCATTTAAAGGACATACACGAAACAGATTAGGATGTATGAAAACACCAGATAGTGCAGAAACAGTAATACAAGCAAAGAGTGAAATGTCAAGTGTCTCTGCAACTTAATAAGCACTAGCTTTGACATTTGTGTCCCTCCTCTTTTTCTTGCCTGTTTTTGTTTATAAACTACAAATGTAAGTTTGTTCTACTTGATAAGAGAGTCATCCACATGCCTAATCATTTAAATCTGAGTCTATAATCAATTGTGATAAGCAGAATTACAGCGATCACTACAATCAAAGATAATAAGTAAAAATCATCTTGCCAGTCAAGCATGACAGGTCGACAACGAGGAGATTTTTTTTTTTTTTAAGTAGATAAAGAAGAAGTCATTTAACAAATCATTTAAAGAACTCTCTCTCTGTCTTACAATCATCTCATTTACAAAGAGCGAGCTAATTAAAGAGTCCTGTTTAAGTGTAAGAATAAATCAGTCGGTCTGGGTTACCTCGTTCGGAGCAGGAGCGGACGAGGCTTCCTCAGATGAATGACAATGATCAGTTTGTCTGCCGGCCTTCTTCAAGAGTGTGAGAGGACTGACGGATGGATGGACCGAATCTTAAACCCTGTATCTGATCTCCCCCTCTAACCACACACAAACACACTTTCACCCCCCCCCCCTTCTCTCTCCTTCTACAACATCCCTCCTCTCTTCCCCCTAGATTTGAATTAGGGAGACTAGGCCAAAACTAAAAGACCTTACACTGATTTCATAACGGCTCTTTTGTTAGGTCAAATGTGCTGCTTTCTTCATGTTTGTTTTTAACTTTTTCATCATTAATGTTCTATTAAAGCCTGTGGGACCAATAAAGTGTATGAATCCTATTATCATGTCTTTTTGAGTCATTATGTAATATTGTTTGGTAACATTTTGCATTGAATTGTATCATAAAGTGTTCAATCCTATTGCATCATAATAATTGACATACATTTTTTAATGTATCTTTCTGTGTCTGATCATGATACTGATTTATTGTAACATATCGTAATATTTAGTAACGTATCGTGAAGTGACGTATTGTAACATACAGTAATTTATCATAAAATACGGTACATATCATTATGTATGTGTGTGTGTCTCTTTAAATGCAATGACCACCAGAGGAGGTTTGTGACCCTGTATAAACCAGCTCTCTCAGAACGCTCCGTTTTTGTGTGTGTGTCTCTTTAAATGTAATGACCCCCCCTGAGTTTTCCCGGTAGACATCACTCCTCTGTAGCGAGAATAAAAATGGCGGACATGCGTAGCAATTTGTTGTAGGCTGGGGGTGGAGTCCATGGGTAGAGATATCAGGGGAGGGGAGGGGATTTTTTTTTTTTTTTTACCAGAATCCCACTGTGACATCACAAGGAGAGCATTGAAACAGATCATTTTTCTCTGTGTTGTAAGACTTATGCAGACCACAAAAGAAAGGACTGGGTGGGTTTATTCACATTTTGTGGGTCGGTAGACACTCAGGTTACCAAAATATATGTTCAAAAAACACTGTACAAGAGGATTTTTCATAACATGTCCCCCTTTAATTAATCAAGCCAAAATGTAAAAAGATCATTTGTTCTAGCTTCAGAAGCTCTTGCTTTTCTTTGTTTTCCCCCATTGTCAAGAGAATATTTTAAATGGTTTGATTAAAAATATAAAGTTTGATTCCAGGATTTTATGAAGTAAATAAAATATTTATAAAATATTTAATCAACTCATCAAAGAAATTAATTAATTCAGCCCTTCATGTCATGCTGACTAGGAGTTATTTGTAAAAAAAAAAAGAGTGGAGGTCATCTGCTGCTTTTACGCAGAGTAAAGAAGGTGAGCCGTAAAAGATTACCAGTAGTTTAAAGGGTCAGACCTGAAAGGAAGCAAAAGAAAAAAAGTAAAAAAAAATACACCGAGGGGGAAATAGGTGAAGGTGCCTTTAATACGCTGCGGATTGGTGCGTATTACAGTGAGCCGAGGGGAAGATATGATTGAGTGGAGTGAAGGTGACTGGAGGTTTTCTCCTTGCTGAATCAAACAGAGGATGAACTCAATAGCAGAGCCACACTTTGCTCCTCTACTGCTGCTTTTCTCTCGACATGAGTGACCTTGGCCAGGGTCAACAGGCAGCTCAATGCTCTGCCTCTCAGGCTCAGAGGGCTGTGAGGGATGGAGGGGGACACATTATTCAACTCAAGCAGACGCACACTTCTAGTGGACACACAAGTAGAAGTCTCACTCCAGTGAAAGTGAAGGACAAATCATATCACTAGCATGTCTGTATATATTTTCGTCTTTTAGGAAACCATCACTGATGATTTTTAACTCCAGATCTTGCAGGCTCATTTTACAAAAGCAAATCATGTGAAAGTTGCATGACAAATAAAGATAAGTAGCAAAAATATTTTCAATTGTTAACATATTAGCAATTATATTTAAATATTTTTTCATATTTTGCCTGAAGCCACTGAACGTCTGCGGCAATAAAAAAAAAAGTGGACACTTAAGATTTTGTTGTGCTGTCCTGAAATCCTTCTAATTATATTTAAATCAGTAAACATATGGCGTACCAGATAGCCCAGTGGTTATGTCCCATGCCTCATGTACAGAGGCTTTAATCCTCGTTGCACCATCCGATGGTTCGACTCTGACCGCTGCATGTCATCCACACATCTCCTGTCTCTCTTCAGCTGTCCTAAAAAGGCCCAAAAAAATAACTTAAAAGTTGCAAAAAAAAACACTTCAAATGATTCTGTTTTACAAGCAGGTTCAAAACAGCAAAAGGTGATTACATTTGTTGGAATAAAATGTAAGAAAAACAATATATGTGTGGCTAATAAACAGATCTGAATATTAAACTTACAATATTGTATTGTGATGATCCAAAATCTGTTCCTATCACAGAGTTGTGATTCTTCATGATGATAGATAAAGTTATTACTCCCTAAAAAAAAAATCCCTTAATGTCAGCCTTTTATCTCTTACTCTTGTTTCAGATTCTGCTTTGTTGAGTTAAAACAGGAAAGTGTAGGAAAAAATGTGGACTACATAAGTCTTGCAGTAGAATTTACACTAACTCTGACATTACCGTAGCAACAGAGGCATCAAATATACATAACCAGAAATAACAAATGATACTGTGTCTAAATCAGAGAGCAGGTGAAAACAACAAAGGAAAAATTGAAAAATACACTTCCGAGAAGGATTTCTGAGAGCGAGACGTTGGTGATAAGATCAGTCTGGACCACTTAACACAAACACAGTGCTGCTGAGCTGCTGTGCTCGTAGCTGGATTAGCTGTGATTTAGCTTCCACTGCAGCAGAGAAGGAGACAGACAGAAAAAGCTTCCAGCACCAATCCATTTAGGCTTAGACATACATGCATCCCTATACATTTCCCCTGAAAATATACACACACACACACGCACACACATGCACACACACTTTTCGTCCCTCAGATGCGATAGCTGACACCGGAGGCTTTTAATTCCAGTGTAAATACAAATACTCTCCCAGACAGCTATCAATTATGCATGCTGCTAATTGAGTTGAATGTTGTGCTTTTAGCAGCCCTGGGACCCTGGGTCACACGCAGCCCTGAAACCAAACACACACACGTGCATGCAGTAACACACACAGCCAAAGATGCATTTATAGTTTTGGACTTAAGCTAGTGAAAATCATTATTGATATCATGCCTTTCCTACAGCCTCTAAATTTACACTTTAAGGACCACAGCATGGATTTTTCATGTTTCAGCCACTTAAGACACACAACAAAACCACTCAATGTTTGTTACTGAAGAGGATTTATCTAACGTAGCACACTCACAACAGTAAATGTTTATTACTGTAGAGGATTTAGCAAACCACTCTGTAGTTTTTCAGCGTTGTAGGCGGTCTAATGTTTACTTTGATTTCCATGTAGAATGAAAATCAATTGGCACAGTCCTCTAACTTTCTAATTAAAGTTCAGGCTGTTTCAATTCTTTGTCATTTTCACTAACACAGACCACAACAAGAGAGATATTTAGAACAGTTTGTTGTTATATGCATGGCGGAGATCGAAATGAAGAGCGAGGTTGGATATTTGGAAGATTGAGGGTGGAAAGATGAAGTGGAGGAAGGAATGATGGTTAGGGTCGAGGGATGAAATCATGCGTCAGAGGAAAAGGATCGAGTAAAGCATGCTTAAATACGTATGAGACCAAAATGGGTTGTGTTTGAGGCAAAGGTCTATGTTCCCGAACCATGTTTGAAAAAACTATATATATATCTTTTAATATAAATGTGAAGTGAAAAGATTAACATCAAAATAACTATTTATTCTTAAGCTACTCTGAACTGTGCTCAGACTAAAAGAATGGAAGATTTCAGGGGTAAAAGGGGGTTTTAATCACGGAGCGCTGGTAGTCAAGCGGTTAGTGCGCGTCACATGTACAGCGGTATAGGTCGTCGAGAGTGGGCAGGCCGGGGTTCGAATCTGACCTGTGGCTCCTTTCCTGCATGTCGTTTCCTTACTCTATCCACTGTCCTATCTATATGATTGCATTGAATTTTTAGTAGATAAAGAGGAAGTCATTTAACTAATCATTTAAAAAACTCTCTCTCTCTGTCTTACAATCATCTATTTTACATATATATATATATATAATCCCACTGTGACATCACAAGGAGAGCATTGATTTTACTATATGTAAAACAAAGTCAAGTCTCTCGTCCATGGAGCTAATGGTTAGAAAAACATGACTACATCCCTTACCCCAACACCTCACATACAGTTAGCTTTATTTTTTACTTCAAGTGACCCTAAAGCAAGCGGTGGCGTGCAAACAAGAACCTAGAAAGCTCTTTTTTTTCCCACATTTCTTTTGTTGTACGTATAAAACAAAGCAATGTAATTAGTTATAAGAGAGCTTTACTTGTGTCTGAGAGCAGATTTTTTTTTTAACTCTGAACTTAACCAAACTATTTTGTTTCTTTAATAAAAAGGTGATAATCCGGTGGTGCTGCCTTGCTTGCGACCCGGACTCACATGTTGCTGCTTTCAGCCTGTTTTAGTGTTTTTTTTCTGCCCTTTCAGGCCCGTTTGATTCTAGTGGAAGCAGCTGAATGTTTGGCAGCACTTTGAGTCCAAGACAAATTTCCCCAAGGGGACGATAAAGTGTATCGTCTCATCTACCTTCATTCACATCTCATGGACACGAATGCAGTATAAATCTTCACATGAGCTGGGTCTAATCGTGAAAAGGTTTTTTTTTTCTATCTCCTTCTACAATGATCAATTAGCTCCTACAGAAAGCAAAAAGGCAAGATGTTTCTATTTGGAGTGTGTTTTAAGAGGTTCCTTGGAGTCTGGAAGAAGAGAATTTTAAATGTTCTATATTAATTTATGACCATCTTTCAGACCTCTTATTTACTTTGGCTTCAAGTTTGATCTTGAAAACTTAAAGTAGTCTTTCTGGAGATTTCAACCAAAACACGCAGACACATTTATGTGTTTTCTTGTTTCAGTAAATTACTTTTCAAATTGCATTGAGCAGATGAATG